CCTAGAGAGTACAATTATACTATTTGGCAAGGGTCATTCTGCTGAACTGATCCCTTAATAATAGCCTAGAACCCTGAAATGGACAAAGAGGCCTCTACGAGGTCCGACATTCAAGTTGAAGTGGAGCACTTGAATACACACAGGCGCGTTCCACAGGGCCTGTTGTTCTTACTTTCTTACACAAATAGCAAGTCCCCGTCTGGTCTCCCTACTGTCTGCGTATTACGTGAGACAATGAACTGGGGAGAGGCACAGGGACTGGGAGGGAGAGACCGCATAGCAGACAGAGCCTCATCAGTGATGCAATTCTATGCTAACGGAGGCTGGGTGCAATTATCCGCGGAGTTCCTGATATGACTTTGGGTTTAGAATTGTCCAAATACAGTGTTGGAGGTTTATTTGGGGGAGGACGGTATAGAGGGCGCTTATAAAGGTGCTCTCGTTGTACTCTTTAAACGAATGACATCTGCTTCTTCCTGGCCATGTCGTATTTAGAAAATAAGCCCACCCGATGGCCATTATGACCACAAAGTAAACCGCAGTGAAAACACACAGAAGTCCCTTCTCTCGTTTTAAAGTGTCCTGTTTTCTTTGTTCATACACAGATGTACCTTTAACCTCTGCAGAAGTGGACATACCCACTGGTAATGTTTTCTGCCTGTCACATTTCTTCAGTTAAATGCAATCAACTCTCCGGAGCTCTTTCTAGTCAACGAATGAACATAGGTCCTAAATAATTTGTCTATGGGATAACTCCCAATGTAAGCAGAAGTCCCAGTAGCCTTTTCACAGAAGCTTTGCTTTCACGTTCCCTTGATTCATCCATGAACACAGAGTGGCCCCTCCGCCAGGGAACGCCCTCTGCTTTTCGCACTGGTCTTAATCAGACGTGCCCAAGGGAGGCGAGGCGAGGGCTGGGGGTCCACACCTCCACCTGCTTGGTGTCGCGTGTTCTGTTTCAGGTGATGCTCTGACCCATCCAGCACTCCCAAACACACACACCGGAGAACCAGGTGGCTTCTCCCCATTCACCCTTCAGCTCTTTTTTTACACCACTGTTAAAAAAAAATGCTTTTTCACTGACATTTGAATCTGATTCTGCTTCGTTTACAGACACAACTCTCACTTTAGGCAGAGAGCCTCCTGCGCCAGGTATGCTTCTGCTTCTTGCTCTAGCCCTAACGAGTGACTTTCTGAGAAACCCCAGCCAGCAAGTTTATGCACCAAAGGGACCACTTCCTGTTTTCCCTGGAGAGGCCAGGCCGCTTCCAGGCCACGCCCCTATCACTGGTTCTCATTCTGAACAGAGCAAAGGCAGGTGCGGGTATAGGGTAAAGAGCATAAAATAGCTTCAAACATCAACCCCGGAGGAGGCCTTAGAGATGACCTACACCAGCGCCTCTCAAATGTCAGCGTGCAAGGGGAGGCCTGGAGAATCTGTTAAAATGCAGATTCTGATTCAGTGGCCCCGGGAGGAGCTGGACTCTGCATTTCTCACAGGCTGCCAGAGTGCAAAAGCTCTTCTTATAAGAGCACCAGTGCTATGGGTCAGGGCTCCAGCCTTAGGACCTCTCTTAAACTTACTTACTTGTTTAGAGGCCACATTGCGGGGTAGGGCTTCAACGTATGAATTTTGAGGAGCTGCAGTTTAGTCCATCGCAGTCACAGAGCTAGAGCAAGGCAAAGCTTGTTCTCTTGGCTCCCATCCGAAGTCCTGCCTGCTCTCAGGCTTTGCCGATGCAGCCATCTGTATGAGTCCCCCAAACCTCTGTGCTATTGATGTCTTCATAACAGGACCTACTGCTTCTAGGCTTTTGTTCATTTGTTTGTTTGTTTTCTTTCTTTTCAAGTCCTGGTTACTTTGAAGACATACTGAGTAAACTCAATGAAACCACAGTTTAGGACTTCCTTTTCACTTAGACTTAAGCACTGGCTTCCTTCCTTCCTTCCTCCCTCCCTCCCTCCGTCTCTCCCTTCCTTCCTCATTCCCTTTTCTTCTCTCCCTCCCTCTCTGTCTCCCTTCCTCCCTTCATCCATCACTTCCTCATTTGCTTCTTTCTCTGCCCCCATCATGACTCCACTTTGGCAGAGGATTCCCAGTTGTAATTCCCACTGGCTCTCGACATCACTCGAGGCACGCTCTTCTTTGTAGACCTGGTTGATAGTAACCGGGTTGCTTTCCACACGGGTCAGGTAGCGCTCACACGATTTACTTCCTTTTATGAAAGTAGGACAGTCCAGATCGCTCCTGTTTCTGCAGGAGATGCCTTTTGGAGTGTGAGGACCGATGTGGTAGTGGCTGTTAAACCATTACCTTGCTTCCCTCTCATCCCTGATTCAGCTCACTGAGCCTAGAATGAATATAACTCCTACATCTTATGCTCCCGAAAGGCAAAGCAGTATAGAAAGTGTGTGTGCTTTGGGACCTCACTGGTGGGCATTGTGGGTGATGGTGCATGTTATATAAGCCCTCTGAATCTCCATTTCCTCATCTCTAGAATAGAGATGATGCCTGGCACCAGTGCTATAAAGAGTAGAAATGTAAATTATATGACATACTGTAGATACACAAGATGGGAATTTTTGTTAATCTACTAAATTTTAAAGCTTTCTTTTCACTGAAAAAAATTTTTTTTTGTCAGCCACAGACCTGATTTTAACAGAAATGACACCATCACCTGGTAATGTTCATATGCCCCTGGCTAGATTAACGCTTAGTTTTGCTGTAATTTATACAACCATACTCTAGCATAAAATCCATTGTTATTTTTTCTCTCTTGCTTCTCTCTCTGTATATTTTCATATGGAATTATGCCTCTAAGATATGATCTTTCTCTTAACCCAAATTTCTTCTGAGGAAACTGAATTGATTTTCTGCATCTCATTTTTAGACCCTGTAAAAAATTTACCTGCAAAATATAATGCTTTTGCGTTCTTCCTTTAAAAAATTCAGTATATTTATAAAGCTTTTCTGACCATGTAAAAAATTTTATTTTTGGAAGAATAAACAGGACACAATATCACTCGTTACACGCCGAAGCCAAGAAAATAAAACTTAACAGACAGTATTTCTGTCCCTAAACCAAAGTAGAAACTTAGACAAGAGTATTAGTGTTTAAACTTAGAGAAAACGTGTGGTTCTTTTTGAGCTTTGAATATTAAATATGTGACCTTGAGGACATGCATTTTTTAAGTTTAATTTTTTTTTTTTCGGTTATAATTTCAGTTGGTGAAGAGATTCCCTTTAACTGGTGCTTTTTGTTTGTTTCTAAGCACTGAATTGGTCATATCATTAATATTGTTAAGATCATTTTTTTTCATTAAAATTTCCTACTCTTTACAGAAAACTTATGAGTACACACACACACACACACCTTTGTGGGTCAAAAGGCCCAAATTCACCTCCTGAGACCTCATTCAGGAGTTATTGGCTTTTACTTCTAGCTTGAACAAGCATGGTTATCTCGCTTCCAATATGACAGCAACAAATCAGATGAGAACAACCGTCCTAGATCAAGATCATGCAGCCCCAGAGAGACCGGAGCCCATGGTGTCTGTTACACGCCACGAAGCATCCTCTATGTAGCAAGCAGAGCAGGAAATTGGCAATCAATTTATATGAAGACAAATCAGTTTAAACATATCTGTGGGTGTGGCACCACCAACATAATATAGATTTTATTTTTTATTATTTTTACTTTTTAAAATCACCTCTTTTGAAGTATAAATATATACAAGAAATTCCACACATCTAAGAGTTCTTCTAATGCGTACAACCGTGTAGCCACCACCACAATCGATTAAGATATAAAACGCTTCCATCACCCCAGAAATTTCTCTCATGTCCCTTTGCAGTTAATCTCACCCACCTCCCCCAGGCAACCCCTGATCTATCTGCTTTCTGTCACTGCAGTTTAGGTTCGTTTTTCTAGATTCTCATATAAATGGAATCAAATGATATATGCTCTTTTGTGTCTGATTTCTTTTGCTTAACAAGTTTATAAGGTTTGTCCACGTGGCTTCATATATTGGTGATTTGTTCCTTTTATTGTTCCTTTTATTGCTTAGTAATATTCCATTGTATGAATATATCACAGTTATTTATCCACTCTCTTGTGGATGGACATTTGGAATGTTTCCATTTTTTGTGTGTGTGTGTCTACTGTTGAGAATTCTACTATATAATCTTTCTGTAGACATGTATTATCATTTATCTTGAGTAAATACCTAAGAATGGAATAGCTACATATAGTTTTTTTTTATTATTGAGATATAATTAACATGTAACATATTAGTTCCAGGTGTACAACATAATCATTCAATATTTGTATATATTGCTGTACATTACATCTCTAGTACTTGTCTGTCACTGGAAAGTTGTACCCATAATAGAGTGTTTACAGTTAAAATGTTGACTTTTATTCATCAGGAGTAGAAGAAATTTCGTTGGATAGATTTTTGTTTGGAGTCAGGGCAATGCCTCGTTTTAGAATAATCGTCTTTCAAAGATTTAGGAGGTTTTGCACTTTTTGTTTCGTTTTCTTTGGAGTTTCAGTATTTTTGTTTAAAGATTAAATTCTTCGGTATCTGGGAAATGAGGCTGTCCATAATGGCCATTCCTTGAGGGTTTCAGTTAATTAAGGTTTTACTTTTTGCGAAAGAGTGGACGAGAAACAGAAATGTGGGGACGGCAGGAAGGAAGGGAGGGAGGGAGGGAGAGAGAACTGCACAAAACAGACGTAGAGCTCATCCCAATGTCGCTCTGTCTGCCGTAAATGACAAGGAACCCCTGAGAATCGCTGTGGCGGTTAGGGGCCTGCCCACGCCTTCTTCCCACCTGACCCGCTGTCACCTCCCGCA